GAGGGGCGGTGAGCCATTTAAATAGGATCCTCCTGTCTGAGCCACCTCCTGGAAAGTCAACAGCAGGAGGTAAATAGAAAGTAGCCGTCTACAGGCCGGATCAGTGTTCGGTGGGCCGGATCCGGCCCCTGGGCCGCAACTTGCCCTGCCCTGCGCCGGAGGGTTGGGGGAAGGGGTGTGGAGTTGCCCAGTGGGCCATATCCTCTGGGATTGTCCCCTGCTCTGCGTGGGAGCAGCCTGGGGGCTCTGCCCAGTGTGGAGAGGGGAGGGGCCGGGCTCTGCTCAGGGGTCGGACCCCTGCCCTCGAGGTGGGGCTGGGTTTGGAGAGAGTAAGCAGGGCCCAGCACTGAGGGCCAGGGAGGATACAGGCCTGGAGCCTGGCTCCCAGAGGGGCTAAGTCCCTGGCGTGCTCATGGCTTTGGCTGGTGGGGGGGCGCTGTGCCCCACAGCAGATCAGGCCTGGGAGGTCTCCAAGGGACTAGCCCCCAAAGCAGGAGGCTCGGTCAGACGGTGCGCTGAGAGTTAGGCACCCAAGTCCCATTGCAAGGAGGCAGCTCTGGCCCCGCTTGTGGGGCGTTTGCCCCGTCTCTGCTGCAGGGGGAGAAACACAGGCCCTGCCCCGGGCCAGGGGAGGGGAGGGCAGAGCTGGCTCCCGGCCGGCCGGCTCTGCGCAGTGTTGGCTCTGTGCCGAGGCGTGATCTCTGCGTGTTCGCAGGGCGCTGCTGGTCAACCAAGTGGGCCTCTTCTTCATCGTCTCCAGCGCAGTGGGCTGCGGCATCGTCATGTTTGCGCTCTACAAGGACTGCGACCCGCTCCTGGCCGGATACATCTCCGCCCCCGACCAGGTACCCCCGGCCCGCCTGGCCTCCGTCCAGGGACCCTGCTCTGGTAAACCCGGAGCTGTCTGAGCAGCCAGGGGGAACCGTCTGAGTCCAGGAGCTCCGGGCAAGAGGCCAGACGGAGGGCATCTGACGTGGCCTCGTGGCTCATTAAGTCTTGAGAGGCTGTGAGCCGAGCACAGGGCCGGCCGGCTGGATGCCTGGGTTCCTTCCCCGGTTCTGGGAGGGGGCCCTTCCCTCGGGGTTGGAGCGTAGGGGAACAGGCCTCCCTGGGTTCTACGCCTGGATCTGGTTGCTCGAGCCAGGATGGGACCCGTCCCCCTTTCCGTGCCTCAGTTTCCCCATCTCTCCAGCAGGGCCGATGCTTTGCAAAGCGCTCCCAGGCCCTGGGAAGGAAGCTGCCTCACCCAAGGTTCAAGATTAGGCTGTGAACCCGCTTCTCTGGGGGGTTGTTTTTTGGGGAGGGGGCTTTCCTTGCCTCTGCCCCCCAGCCCTTGTTAGAAGAGTGGGGGTTAGCTGCCCTCTCTCCCCTGCCTCTGACACCTCCGTAACGTGGCCATCTCCCCCTGCAGTACATGCCCTACCTGGTCCTGGACATCTTTGAGAAGTACCCGGGCGTACCCGGCCTCTTCCTGGCCTGTGCCTACAGCGGAACCCTCAGGTAAGGGGCTGAGCATGGCCCCCCCAGCTGGGGGGCAGCCGTGACCAGGGGAGCCAGCGGAGGTCACTCAGTGAGGAAGAACTCAAAGAAAGGGGCAGCGGGGGGTTATTCCTACACTTCGATTTACCCAGTCAGCCCCAACCAGCCTCCCCGGCCATTGCAGGCTTCCGATCTTACCCCGAAAACATGCTTACAGCCGCTTCTTATTAGCAAACTAAAATGTCTTACAAAAAGAAGCGGGAGAGGATCTTGCTTACATACACACCGGGCCGAGAAGGGGCCTGAGATTAGATTCCTGGCTGAGAGGGTGAGCCGTGACTTGCAGAGGGCTTGCAGAATTTCGACCCTGGGAACAGACGAATATTCAGTAGGGTCCCCTGCACCAAACCATAAGCAGATCTGAGTCGGCAGGACCCTCCGCACCCAATGGATTTCTGATACATCTGGCAGCCTCTTGACCCTACAGTTCAAACCAAAGGTTTTTGTGTAACCTTCTGTTTCCCAAACATCATTGTAATTAACACAAAGTAATTAATCCGCTAAACATCTCAGAAAGGCATAGTTCAAACCAAAGGCTTTTGGTGTAACCTTCTGTTTTCCAAACATCATTGTAATTAACACGAAGTAGTTAATCCGCTAAACATCTCAGAAAGGCAGCCAGGTTAGTCTAACTTTAAAAACAACGAATAATCCTGTGGCCCCTTAGAGCTTGTCTACGCGACCAGCCCGTGATTTCGAAATAAGAGGCTGGTTATTTTGAAATAATAACTCCTGCTTTCCTTGGGGAATAAGCTTATTTCAAAAGAGTTATTTGGGGAGTTTTTATTTCAAAATAAGTTATTGGGAAATGATTTCCCAGTGTAGACATGAGAGATGAGCAAAAAAAAAAAAGGCTTATGAGCTTTTGTGAGTAAATTTCCACTTCCTCAGATGAGTTGGAGTAGAAATGACCAAATCCAAGAGATATACCCCAGCAAAAGCAGTTACCTGTCAATGGTAGGATCCGTGTTAATGGAGCTAATTAACTGGGCTGGGTGTGTCCCATCTACAGCGTTGGATGTGAAAATGCGAAGGGTAAAAGCAGGGGAAATTGGCTTTGTAGTGCGCCAGTCACATCATATCTTTATTCAAGCCAGTGTCAAATTTGCAAATGAATTGCACAGTCACATCCTATCTTTATTCAAGCCAGTGTCAAATTTGCAAATGAATTGCAGTTCAGGAGTCTCTCTGTGTGATTGCAGCTTCCCATTGTTGCGGCGTAGCCGGGGTTCCCCCGATCCTGCACCCCCGTAGCAGCCAGAACAGTCTTCACCAGCCAGCAGAATAGAGAGGGGTTTATTGATTTTCCAGAATACAGCCCAGAATACAGATGTGAGGTGGCAATAGGAGGGGGTCTAGGATGCCCCAGACCCCTTAAGGCAGGGTGCCTGAGGTCCTAGTCTCCAAGCCCCCTCCCTAGGTGTCTCCATCATGTTTCCAGCCCCAGACTAACTCTTCCCCCGAACACTCACTTCCTTAGTTCCCTTTCTGCCCCGGCAGCCCCCCACTACGGGTCCTACCATTGGCAGGTATCTGCTTCTGCTGGGATATATCTCTTGGTTTCTGTTATTTCCTGTCCAGCTCATCTGAGGAAGTGGGTTTTATCCACAAAAGCTCATAGAATCATCGATGCTCCCGTCTATTTTTGTTAGTCTCTGAGGACAGGACGTTGCTCTCGGTTTTCATGTGGCCTGCAGACGCTTCACCCTTTCTGCTCACGGGTCTGACCTGGCATGTGATTTTCTTGCCGTTCTATAACAGCGGTAGCTGCCCCGGCGTTTAGGGTCATATTAGAATCCGCTCGCGCCACAGCGGCTCTGGGCTCCGTTTGGGGGCCCAGCTAAACGCACCCCACTCCCCTTTGTTGCTCTGTGGCTCCGTGCTGGCTCTGGGGTGGGGCTCGCCAGCTCCTTGTGTGGGACAGGAAGTGAGGAGGAGGGTCGGTGGGCCCAGCTGCTGTCGAAAGGGCAGTTCTGGGTGCAGGCTGCGCCGGGTACGGCGGGCGTGGGGGTGGGCACTGACTCCAAGGGGAGCAGCGTCTTCTACCGAGCCACCCCCGACTCCGTGCGGTGCAGCGTGCACTCCACTGCTCCGCCTGCAGCTCCCCCTGGTGGTCGTGCAATTATCACCCGGCCCCACCCCCTTTGCCACTGGAGGGTGACGGTGACGGTGCCCAGGCGCGCATGACTCCCCTGGGCTCATAAGAACATGAGAACGGCCAGCCTGGGTCAGACCAAAGGCCCATCCAGCCCAGTGTCCTGTCTGCCCACAGTGGCCAATGCCAGGAGCCCCGGAGGGAGTGAACAGAACAGGTACTAATCAAGCCATCTCTCTCCTGCCATCCACCTCCACCCTCCGACACACAGAGGCCAGAGACACCCTTCCTTACCCATCCTGGCTAATAGCCTCCATGAATTCATCTAGTTCTCTTTTCAACACTGTTATCGTCTTTGCCTTCACAACGTCCTCTGGCAAGGAGTTCCACAGGTTAACTGCGCATTAAGTGGAAAAAATACTTATTTTGGTTTGAAACCTGCTCCGGTTCATTTCATTCGGTGACCCCTCATTTTTCTGTGATGGGAACAAGTCAATAACTTTTCCTTATTCACCTCCACACCAGTCATGAATTCATAGGCCTCTAGTCGATCCCACGCCCCACCTGCCCTCCCTGTCAGTGCGGAAACTCACCCTCATCTCCAAGGGGCTCTGTAAGTCCGGGGCTGGTGGGGGAGGTGGGATCCTTATGTTTGGCTGCCTGGCCCATGTGGCTGCTCCCCCAGGCTGAGGCTGCTCTTTCTCCATTCCTCAGCGTTGATCTACGGCACCTCGTGCATCACCGTGGCGGCCCTGTCGTCTCTGCTGGGGGGTGGGGTGCTGCAGGGAAGCTTCCCCCACCCCAGCCAGACGGAGACACGCTCAAGGTTCTGGCCCGACTTTCTGGCCTGGCCTGTGGGCGTGGGAGCAATGTTCCCTCTAATTGTTTCCATGCATGTGCGGAATAAATTTTGTTATGTGCACTGAGACATGTGTGGATGTGCACTACCATAGAAACACATGCTACCGGCTGTGGGCAATGTTGATTTGAATTTGTTTTTCCATGCATGTGTGGAATAATTTTTGTTCTGTGCTACAAGGCAACTGTGGATGTGCACTACCCATATAAACACATACTACCAGCTGTGGGCAATGTTCCCTCTAATTTTTTTCATGGGTGTGCGGAATAATTTTTGTTCCGTGCACCAACGCATGTGCAGATGTGCACCACCAGTAGAAACATGCTGCTGGCTGTGGGCAGCTGAGGGCCCCCTTTTGGTCTTGCATGAACATGGCCCTTCTCCCCCGAAAGCCCTGCTTGGTCAGAAACGCTGGCTTTCATGTAAGAACAAACGTGTAGCAGGGAAACTCTGGATTTGGCTTGCTTGGTCCCATCTCCCCCCGTCTCAATCTCTGCAGGGTTCCTTCACCGTCATGGGCGTGATCAGTGGGCCTCTGCTCGGAGCCTTCATCCTTGGGACTTGCATGAACATGGCCCTTCTCCCCCGAAAGCCCTGCTTGGTCAGAAACGCTGGCTTTCATGTAAGAACAAACGTGTAGCAGGGAAACTCTGGATTTGGCTTGCTTGGTCCCATCTCCCCCCGTCTCAATCTCTGCAGGGTTCCTTCACCGTCATGGGCGTGATCAGTGGGCCTCTGCTCGGAGCCTTCATCCTTGGGATGTTCGACGTGGAAGGCACCTAGGTATCAGGCACCCGACCGTGCGCATGGAGGTGCCCAAGACCCAGGAGGCGGCGGGGGGCCGGGCCACGTCACTTACCCAGGCTCTGGCTGACTCCTCCTTTCGTTTCTGCTCCCAGGGGGTTTTTGCAGGCTTAGGGGCTGGTTTTGTCCTCTCCTTCTGGGTGG